TCTTGCGCGAGGAAGGAGCGCGCACGGCCGCGTCCCTTCATTAAACCGCGGACAATACCGCCGGGGGAAAAAAAAAGCGAGATGTTAAATTCATCGCGCGCGTCAGGCGAGCGAAAGGGAAAGCGAGTAAGTCGGATTTGTCCCACGATTAGTTTTCACCGTTCGCGTACACAACGTCGTCGTCGTCGTCGTCGTAGTCTCGTCTGCGAAATTGAATAAGAGGAGATCCTCTCGCGCGCGCGCGCGAATAGAAACTCGAGCTCTCCTGCTCCGCCGGAAACGTTCTCATCATTCCTTTGCAGAGTGCAACGGGATTCAAGTTACCTGGATTTTTCTCTCGCGAGCCACGTGGAAACACAGATCGCTCTGATCGATATCTGCAGCTTTTTTTTTCCATGGAATCTGCGTGCGCGCGTAATGGGAAAAGAATGCGAAAAATAACGAGAATGACGAGAAGAAAAAAAGAAAAAAAAAAATAACGAGAAAAATACGAAGAAGAAGGAAAATTGTGCAATTAACAGGAAGAAGTGAAGAAGCGAGGAATTTTTTACGTGAGACATAAAATAATGAGAACGACCGAAAATTGACAAACACGATCCCTTCGAATCGATCAACGACTCGTGGGGCCACGGTAGCACTCGCCGCGCGAAACGCATAGCGGGCAATGTCGGCTTCGACAGACACGCGCGATTCTACGCGAGAATTCGCAGCTTTTCACGATAATGCCGGATTGCGCTTACGCAAGACGCCAAATTGCGCGCCGTCGTCGAAAACAACGACGAGCGATAATTAAAGCGCTCGCGCGTCATTTAACGCGCGGCTTCCCGCGACCGCGCGCGCGAAATTCTCCATTGATGATGCATTCGGATTCGAGATGAGGATAGAACGCGAGCGTCCTTCTCTCTCGACCGCGAAAACGCAGGCTCGCGGTGGGCAGAGTCCGCTCGGTTTCTCACAAAGCGCGGACGAGCTCGTCGTCACCGTCGCCGCATCGTGGGACTGATTGCGGAAACGCGTTGCTGCCGCGCTGCGCGCAGCGTTACGTGCGTGCATAATGCATATCGCGTGACTCCGTCACGGATCCGGACAGTTACAACGTGTACACGCGTAACAATATCGCGTATCACGGCGAATCTCTCTCCTACCGACGTCTGGCATTTTAATCGAAGCCGCGAGCAGGAGGGAGAAGGAGCGAGAGAGAGAGAGAGAGAGAGAGAGAGAGAGAGAGTGTGTGTGTGTGTGTGTGTGAGAGAGAGAGAAAGAGAGAGAGAGAGAGAGAGAGAGAGGGAAGGGGGCAGGGAGGGGGAGAAATGGATCGCCGGGAATGTGCATCCTCGTGCGTGCGATAACATAACGAGCGTACGTGCGTACTAATAATAAAATGTAAGCCGCGCGCCTCTCTTTCACGCTTCTTAGGGCTCACGCACGAACACGGACGTGTGTAGCAACGGGCTCGACCGGTGTATGTGTGTGTGTGTTGCGTTGTGTAGTACAATTACGCTATCTTCAGTTAGATCTATGCTAATGACACTGTTGGCGGCGCGTTATCACGCGATCACGATCGCGAAATGGGCGTGACACTTTTTACAGACGAATCGCCGATCAATCTGTCCTTAGTCTCTCTTGTCACCTTCTTGCCGCAACGCAATCGAGACTTGCGCCTTGGCAAGTACAAAGTACGCGCGTCTGTTAATCGTCGGCGTTCGCGAGGAGAATACGCCGAGAGATGTTCGCGCGCTTCCCCGTCGAGTCGAAATTCTGCTCTCGCACTGATCCTGCAAGTTCCGTCGAACTTGAGGCATCAGCGGGAAAGCCTGAAGTACGCAACGCTACGCAGGCTATTCTCTTACCTCGACGCTGCGCAGATGCTGCTTACTCGCTGCTGTCTTCGTCCCGTTGAAGTTTGAAGAAGCTTGCTCGGGAGCTACTTAATATTTGGTTATTCCGATATTCCTCTTTCGCGCGACCTCAATTTTTCATTTCGACGAGCAATGTATATTAATAATTGTGTAACTTGCTTCATCGTAGATGAAGTGTATCGAATAAGCAAATATTAAATAATCCAATAAATAAAAAAGCAACACATTTTTACCATCCATAATCTCTTTGTCTTTTTCTTTCTTTCTCCTCCTTTTTCTTCCTTAAAAATCTCGGTGAAATTTCAAGCTCTTGAAAGAGCCGATATTGTAGGAGGCAAGAATAACACTTGCGCGTGCAATAATGCTGCTTCTCACAATCACGATACGATGACGATCCAGTCGGTTCCAGGACGGATCGCAGGACGCAAGACGTAGCGGCAGTCCTAGCGGCGGTTCTTTTCTCCACTTCTTTTACAGATATCTAAATCCTAACGAAATTTCTAACGCCGGTATAGAAATAATAACAGAGAGATTACGAAAGAAGAAAGTCTGTTGCTCGCCATTCATCATTTATCTGTTGATCATTACCGGATGATTTAACATCTGATAATCGCAACACTCTGCGCGCGCGTTTGAGGAAGCGTTACGTAAAAATAAAAGTTACATAATTCATAGTCACCGGCTATTGAGAATAAAAATGAAACGCAGATGGAGACTGTCAGGAGCATCGAATATATTCAATAAGATCCTCGAGAGTTGCTCCTTTCGTCAAAACTCCAACAACAAAACGGCAAGCAGCGGCATCAAGAAGCGGCAGTCTGTGTTTCCCATCAAGTTCGACGCGAGAGAGAGAGAGAGAGAGAGAGAGAGAGAGAGAGAGAGAGAGAGAGGAGAGAGAGAGAGAGAGAGAGAGAGAGAGAGAGAGAGAGAGAGAGAGAGAGAGAGAGAGAGAGAGAGAGAGAGAGAGAGAGAGAGAGAGAGAGTTGCGGGTTTACCGAACGCGCTTACCAAAATTCCCACTCATTTTCAGTCAATTTGATCGGACAAATCGGACCGCCTCATTCCGACACGGCGTATTAGACCCGAGCTCGTTACTACACGCGATGCGAGGCCGATTCGCAGAAACATTCGATACGCCTGCCGTAATCGCGGCTTATCGCAATTAAAATTATGCGCTGACTACGTTGTAGAACAATTACGCTATCCGCCAGCGAATCTGTATTAATAACCATAGAGTAATAACAGCTCACTTTTTCACCGTCTAGACGCTACCACCTCCCGAGGCTTATCTAACTGCGCGCGACCCATTATGCGTTTGATGAGAACGTTAAGATCGTGGCATGACGGTCGCGAGATGGCCGGGCCACTCTTGTTCCGGTATGAACTTTTAAATTTGTTTACGATTAGTTCCCCATTTCCCGGCCGGTCTCGTAATTAAGCAACGCCGAGGGGAACAGTTACTTTTTAATTAGCTTAATTAATACCGGAGAGGATCCACCGCGTTTCCGAGCTTCCGTTCCTTCTTCTGCCATCCTTTCGTCTACACGACAATCGTCGCGGATCGCGCGGCGTTCTTGCCGTCGCTCGCTCGATTCGCCGCGGCCGGATCGGATCGAAATCGGCGCGCGGGATCCGAAAGGCGACAGACGCGATTTGTAAACGGCTGCGCGCCGGGAAAACTACCGGGATGACGAGGCACGCCCGCTGTGCCTTTACGAGCTGCAGGTTCAGCCTGTCGGCCAATTACACCTTCCACAGTTAGGTGGTTCCCCGTCTTAACGGGCAGTTAGTGCCAACATAAATGTCCTTGCTGCACGCTTTTAATTGCCCGCTTATAGCGCCGCTCGCGATCCGTTGGCCTACGTGGCCGCGACTGCAAAGAAAAAGGGGGAAGGGCGCAAGGACGAGCCGCACGCGGAAATTCGATGGACAAGGAGATAAACGCGAAAGAGAGAGAGAGAGAGAGAGAGAGAGAGAGAAACAGAAACAGGAATCGCGAGAAGCGACCGTCGTCGGTCGCTTCGCGAATAATCGCGCGGATCGTCGCAGAGGATACCAACAACTGCGTGGATTTCGACATTTCCTCGCCGAGAGAGTCCTTCCTCGAGGTGTGCATGAAGTCGTGAAGTATGAGCGGCCACCGCGCTATCCCTTCGGGATAAATTTCGCGCGCGATCTTTCTCTCTCTCTTCTCTTCGGCGAGCGATCGTTTACATCTCGCGCCGCGCAACATCTCGATTGTAACCGCGCGCTGAATTTACAATGTCGGAGCCGCGCGACAAAGCGCGACGTCCGTTCGCCTCAAACATCCCCCCCCCCCTGCGTGTGCTCCGGTACCGAGTAACAGCGCAGAGAAGAAATTTCGCCGATCCTCATTATAACTCACTGAGTTGCCCGCCGGAGCCAGCGTTTTTTTCACGTGGGCGTGGGTGCGACACTCGGATCGCCGCCGTGGGGCCTCATCGTCGTAGGGCCCATGGCGGAAGGTCGCTCGGATGGGCGCGCAGCCGCTCAGTGATAACTCCTGGCGGAGGAAGAGGAGGGAAAGGGGGGATATAGCCGAATTTCGGTTATTAATTCCGTGAGGGCCGCGACGGGGTGCTACGACCCCCTCGTGCGTGTCAGCCGGGGTTGGCCCTTCTTCGTGGGCTCGCCCTTGGGACCCCTCTGAGACAATGGCCGCCTGCAGCGTCGGATGTCTCCGACGACGTCTGCGGACCCCCGCCGCCACGGTCGCAGTTTTACTACTATAGAGACGTCAGTTATCCGTCCCGTCATTTCGTATTCGGGGCCCGGGTCTCTCGCTCTCGCGGGGCCCCTTTCCGATTTATCGGGACGAACGCGCGGTCGCCGCCGCCGGCGCGGCAACGACCGGCCGACGTCGTGGTCGCCGTAAACGTGCCGGAATCACGACGTTGCTTTCTTTTTCCCTGCCTCTTTTTCTGCCGATAATCGGCCATATTTACGGATTCCTTGTTCCCACGAGCGTGTGTTTGTGTTTCTCGCGGTCCACGGGAAGTTCAGGGCGGTGAGGTGATCCGTGCCGGGGCCGAAGGGAATCATTACATCATACGTACAATCAATGAGAGACGCGGATGCGAGCGGGTAGAGGTTAAAACCGATAATTTGTGAGGCTGGTACATACTTAATTCGCGTTTCGTGCGTTGCGCGAGCGTCGTTATTATTTCAATTAATTAGGTACCGTTCCCCGTCATTCATTATCGCGGGCTAGGAGCGGAATAATAATCGCCCTGTCGGGGTCGATCGGGCCCGCGTAGTACATTTTTCAACGCAACGTGCTTGTGCGGAACTTACATTACAGAACATGTATCGGTACACTCGGCGGAAATCAATAGAGTCAAAAGAGTCAGCAATAATCTCACTGAGCGTACTTTAAATAACACTCTGAAATTCCTTGGAGCAAAATTCCACTCGGAGAATGACAGCCGAGTGATTCGAGACGTTGAGTGGCTTGTTCACTCGTATGCGAGTGAGTTATATTTCAGCCTCGAAATATTTTTACTCAGATACAAAAGAAGAGAAATCTCGGCCTGATCGACCGAAACATTCGTTCCGGAAGTCGGCAAGACATCTTGCGAGAATTTATCCGTTAGGACCTCACTCGGCCTCGAACAATTGCGAGCGGCGACACGCATCGCCGCCTCGCACGAGGAAACTCGCTCCGCGAAATTCAGAGAGCAGATGAGAAGAAAAACAAGCAAGGTACTCACGCCCTGTTCACCCGTTGCGACGATATCCCACGTCGATCCCGCGTCGAGCCCGGGCGTGTATGGAACAACAAAAATGCACAGCGGTTAATAACCGCCGACCGATCGGCGAGCGGCGTTCCGCGGCCGCGCGAATCACCGCGGCCCAGAGTTTCGGTTACGGGGTTTTATCGCGGGCTCCAGGGCGTGCCTTCGCACGGCATGCCCTCTTACCGATTAGCAATGTAAACTACATGCATGTTGATACGCGGCAAGTAAGTTCTCGAGACGCCGCGAGAGCCCACCGACGCTTGCGCGAATTCTCTCCCGTGCGCTCCCGCGCGCCGGAGAGAACCGCCGCCGCGCGAACGGCGGCGCTCCGCGATTAATCGCCGGCCATCGTCGGTTTTCTCGGAGCCCGCACCCATTACTTTGTAGCATTTGGCGGCACTTAATGACCCATACTCACGGAAGTCGGATCCTGGGCCAGCACATGAAACAGAAAAAGCGTGAACGTACGGGTCAGACATGCTGCTCAAAATTCACTATACGCTACGAAACGTTTAATTTTCAATTTTAAGGATCGACCGTAGCAACGGCGGCGGCGGCGGCGGCGGCGGCGGCGTACTTACCGCCGCCGCGCGGATACTTCCTCCGGTAGCCAGTTTCAGCCTTATTGTTCCTCTTTTTAAATTGCATTTCGTTTAGAAATTCCGCTCGCGCAACCGTCGCTCGTACGCGCGCAGGTGAGTGACTGACTACGTGCTTACACGGGGAGAAAGGGGCGGGGGGCAGGACAGTGGACATTATGCGGGCATAATAATCGGATTGTAATCGGCCATGCGACGAAATAACGCGCCCGCCCCCCTACCCCCGTGCTACGTGCATAATGTCACGCAGTTTCTAAGTATAAAGACGTTCAACAATTTGTTATGCATGCCTCGGTGGACGAAAATTGCATTTAATTCGCCGTCGCCCTCCGTTCCACCGGGCGACCGTGGGGCCGAGAGGACGCTCCGTTGACTACATAAATGTAGATGTTCCATTTAAAAAGCCATTCTCGCGTGTTTAGCATAATACGTAATCGCGCGAACCGCCGTCCGCCGGATTATTCCCGCGTCCGTCGTCCGCAAAAGGGTTACCGCGTCGTTAATCGTAAGGAAAGAGAAAAGAGGAAAAAGTGATGGGGGGGGGGTGTGGAGGGGGGAGGGAAAGGGACGACGAAAGCGGAGCGCAAAAATATCCCGGCCCGATCGACATTCCCCCCCCGGGTAGTTTATTATTCCTCGCGCGCAGAGAGGGCACTCGGTCGAAATATAAAGCGTCAAGAATTCGCCTCCTTTCCTTTCTCGCGCGCGATCTCGGTGCGGGTAACGTAATATCGTCAATCCTTCTCCTCGTTGCACAATGCACACGCGCGCGCGGGAAGCTGTGTGAATTTCGTAAAAATGTCGATAAAAAATCCACCGTCATTTCATCTCGCTTGACCGACGCAGCGCGAACGCTTTCGTTCTCTCTCTCTCTCTCTCTCTCCCTCCCTCTCTTTCAAATTCGTCCGACGATCCATCTTCGTTCCCCGGTTCCCGCTTCTTTTTCCCTTTCCCTCCCCTGTTTCTTTTGTTCTTACACACACCTCCCGTATTTTCCCGCTACGAACCCGCCGCGTTCGATGGAAAATTTTGCGGCTGACCGCCGCTTCGTTTAAACGCCGCGGCAACGACGACGTCGGCGCCGTTAGCGCGTTTCAATCAGTCGGCGAGTAAATGGCAATGGCGAGACGCTTCTCGTAACTCACGCGGTCTGCGCGCGCACACACACACACACACACACACACACACACACACACGTTGGCGTCCCGTTCTCTTTACTCTTCGGTGGACAGTTTTAACTGCACCTTTCGACAATACCGGTTGTCAAGCGGCCCGGCGAGAAAAACTCGTTGTCGAAACGCGAGAGCGAAATCGCCGGGACACCGGGAGGCTGCACCGCAGTCAGCCGGCGAGCAGCAGCAACATCGTCGGCGGCCCGGTGAAATCTCGGCGATGAAAGTCACCGGCGTGAGCGGCGGCGAATTTTCGGCCCCGATGAAAAGCCCGACGATTCTCTAATGTCTTAATTCTCAGGACAGCGTGTCGACTGTAGGCGATGTCGAAGTGTGATGAACGAGCGAGAAGAGCCCGACGTTTCTTTTCACCATCGACCGCGAGAAAGCTGTCGACGGAGCTCAAGAGAGAGAAAGAGAGAGAGAGAGAGAGAGAGAGAGAGAGAGAGAGAGAGAGAGAGAGAGAGAGAGAGAGAGAGAGAGAGAGAGAGAGAGAGTTCAAGAGCGAGAAAGAGAAAGAACATCGTTTCGCTGGTTCAAAACGCGGAAGACAAGAGAGCCGCGTGTTTCGAATCTCGATTCGACATCTCGATGCGGTGTTACAAGATAGATGGTAATACGATTATCCATGGGGATGCGCCGAGAACGCGGGAGAGTTATACGTGATTGCTACCAGCGGCCGTTATGAACACAGAGTATCGCGCCAATAAACGTTTGTACGAGTTTACAGAGGGAAAAAGAGCAACACAGAAGACCGCGAATCGAGGGAACCAAGGTAAAGATGAAGGGGCACAGAGAGAGAGAGAGAGAGAGAGAGAGAGAGAGAGAGAGAGAGAGAGAGAGAGAGAGGGGGAGGGAGTGGAACGGCAAAGAAGAGAGCGAAAGAGAAAGAGTGAAGAAACGAAGACAAGAGCGGCGGGAGGGAGAGATCAGGAGGATGAAAGTACCTGCGGAGAGGCTCCCTCGCCGCAAGATCGCTCCGGCTCTCCCACCGGAATTTTAACTTTTAATAATAAAGCGAGGGAGTCTCGCGTTGTTACGTTATGATAGCGCGGCGGGAGCGCGCGGAGGGGGTGGCACGCGGAGATGGAGGCGAATTAAAGGCGGTAGAAGGAAGTTCTCTCGGAGGCTCTCTCTCTCTCTCTCTCTCTCTCTCTCTCTCTCTCTCTCTCCCTGCTCTCGTCGTGGCTTCGGGGCTTGGTCGAGGCCGGGGCAAACCGCAGCACAGGCACCGCCGCCACCGCGTAATTGCCGAGCTCTCACTTATCGGTCGTTCGATTGATTATTATTTTTACGCGCCTCGACCCGCTTGACCCGGCCGCGGTGAGCGAGCGAGCGCGCGAGCGCGCGCGCGCGCTCGCGAGAGAGGGAGAGAAAAAGCGAGATCGCCGATCGCTCGGCGTCGCCTCCGATCTCATCATTAAGCGCCGTCGGAGGGGGGGGGGGCAGGGCAGGGGAGAGAGGCGGTGGACAGATTCCTCGCGCCCGCGACGCGAAAATTCAACGGCCGCCGGCGAGTGCGTTTCGTCGACGGTGCCGGAAAGTTCACTCGAGCGAGTGCGGAGTTTCCCAACATTTACACGAGGACTTTACGATTTTCGTCCGTCTGGGCATCCTAATTATCTCCGACCGACTCGGTAGCATCTTCATCGACTTGGTTATCGCGCACGCACGTCGCAAGCTGAGCTTTCCACACGACGCGAGCATTGCGCGATCTGTCGAAATCTATTTGGCGATCGGTCGCTCGCTCGGTCGCTCGGTGGCGGGCTATTATCTTTATATACCTCGACCCACCTGACCTTAATGTACCGACCGCTGCCGCTCCTTGAATCATGTTATTAAACCGCTTGATCTTATGGACAAAGGTTGCCAGGTGTGGGGAACGGCGAAATCACGCGAGAGAGTGCGCTCGCGCGGCCGCGCGCGCTGCCCGGCGAGAGAGGAAGAGAGAGAGAGAGAGAGAGAGAGAGAGCCGCTTTTTTCTCCCTTTTCCTTTCCGTAATCAAAACGCGGAATACACCGGAAGTCGTGATCGTATAATTAAATAACAAAGTAGGAATTCCTCGGAGATTGGGTCGGGGATCGCGGGGCTTTTTTATGCGCAACAGAGTGCGGCGGTTACGCGGTTTAGCTCGCAGCGGCGCAAACAAATTAAAACATCCGCTAACGTTGCCGCATTTTAAGCGACGCTTTACCTCGGGGCGAAGCTCGTGAATGCGAACACGAACCGGAGGAGCGGTAAAAGCTGAGCCGGGAGTCGGCGGCGGTGGCGGCGGCGGCGGCAGCGGCGGTAACGCGCAATGCGGCCGGAGAGGCATAAAGCGCGCGCGAGAGCGCGACGGCCTTCGTCGACGCCGCGCCGCCGTGCTTTTTCTTCGGCAAGGAGTACAGAATAATTGGATTCGCGAGGGTGGCGGAAAACCGGCGAGAGGACTCAAGTAACACCGCGTGGACGCGGAGCGAGGGGGGCGCAATGAGCCGTATAAATAAAAGGCTCTCGACGGGAGTCTCGGCGCGAGGCGCGAGCACGGAGTTACGAGAGAACCGCCGAAGAAAACCCACCACCTAACGTACCTGCCCGCCTGCGCGCTGTACCGAATAATAATTACATTCCGCCACTGTTTACGTACAAAGTGCAGAAATTTCTCCAGAGAGCTTTACACCGACAAGCTCGACACAGGGCGGAGGACGAGTGGTGGGAAGGGGGAGCAAGAAAAGGAGCACGCACACGGGCCGCCCGCTCGCTGTTCTGTCCGTCTGAGGAGGCTCCTCTCGAATTGTTTTTCGTGCAGCGAGGCAGGTGCTTTCCGAAGCAATTAAAAGTCGTCTGTCAATCGCACGCGAGAAAAAGACAAAGGGGAAAAGAAAAAGGAAAGAGAGGGACGAGGGAGCAAGGAGGAGGAAATTGTATGTAGATCGAGTATAAATATCGCTAAGTAATAATTGCTCGGAGAATGAATAGAACGATCGATCATATCTCCGATGCAAATCGAGCGCCCGCCGCGATATCGACCCTGAACTTTCGATATGCGCGCGCGCGCGCACGCGGAGGGCGGATGGGCGGGCGGGCGGACGGTTTACTCATTTAAACTAAATTATTCCAAATAAATGAGCGTGTCCTCGGGAGTACCTACATCCCCGGGACACTCATTCATCCTTAATTAATGATCCGCTCGAAAGTCGGCGGGATTAATCGCGCGCAATCAGATCACCGTAATTAATTACTCCGTGTTGGGAGCACTTTGTTTGCGTCGGCGAGACTATCTTGATGAAATGAAATTGCGCGACGTCGCGGCGGCGAGCCCTCCTGCCCCCTCCCCCGAAAATGTGCAAGTCAACGCGAAACAAATGACTCACTTGGTCGTGACTCGTTTTCCCGAGCTCACGTCGATCCGCCTCGATAATTATTGATTTCGCCGGCCGCGGATATGTGTCGTTTTTCTGCCAAACGCGCGCGTATCGCCCGCGCGCGCTTCTTAATTATATCCCGAAAGCAAATGACACGAGAGAGACTTCCCCCTAACTAGTAAGTTCCCTCAAACACGTCGAATAGTTTCATCCTGTGTCGAGCTACGTATAAAGCGCAATTAATCGCATACAAGAGACGGAAGATTGTTGTACCAACCAGTAGCGAGATCGTGAAGAGGACGCACGCATCT